GGAGGGAGGGACGGATGGAGGGATGGAGGGATGGACGGACCGACGGATGGATGGACGGACGGACAGATGGACACATGGATGGATGGACAGATAGAAGGGACCTCTCCACATCAGCCAGCCTCCTTCCCCTGCCCCTGGTTCTGCTTCTGGTCACCCTCTGGACAACTCCCACCTGCGGTGTGTTTCCTTCCTGGCCCCACTGGGCCCCTCAGGGCCTGCATACATTTAGCACAAGGGCATCCGTAAACAGAAGGGCCTAGAGAAGCCTTCCCAGGCTCAGTCCCTTCTGGGGCCACACCCCTGACGTCCCCTAGGTGCCCCTTCTGCTCCTCCTGGCGGTCAGTCGCAAGGAAGAGGAAGAGCAGAGAGGTGGACAGAGGCTCCACCAAAGCCACCCAGGACAAGGGGGCACGTGCCGGACGTCGTCGATCCAGGGTGTCTGGAGGAACAGCTGACAGCCAGGCCCTGTGCAGGCGGCCCGTGCCACCCCAACACTAAGTGAAGTTTGTCACAGCTGGGGTGGGTGCGTGGTCACTCTCATAAAACCAGCTCATAAAACGCTGGTGCTTCCTGTCAAGGGTCCCCCTTCTGACCACCTGACCCCATCTCCCTAGGTACAAAACGAATCCCCTCCAGTCCCACAGGCCCTGCGCTGACAACACCACTCATGATACACCAGACCGCAAGACAGCCCGCCGAGGAGAAGCCTGGCGAGAAGTTACCTCGCGGGCAGCAGCCGCCTGCAGCGTGTCCATGACGGCCAGCACTTCACACACATCCAGCCCCTCGGGGCCTCCCTTGTCTGGAAGCAGCAGCAGGCCCCCGGGGTCACGGCCACTGTAACAACACAAGCAGCCTCGTGAGCTCATTTCCCCCAAAGCGTGTCCATCCCTGACCTCAGGGCCAGCCCTGGGAGAACACACCTGAAATACGTGCACAAGGACCTGAACGTGAGATGCGCAGACGGCTTCTGTTCCGGCTCCGTGACGTTCTTCTGGGAAACAAAAAGGATGGCTTTCAGACAGTCCACTCCAGGACCCTCCGTGGCGTTTCTAAGGGGTCCACGCCAAGGGAGGAGTCTCTGGCAGAGACTCCAGCTTGCCACCTTCCAACGGGAGACTCTAGTCCCGGGCCCCATGGCTGGGAACACAGGTGCCGAGACCGAGCGTTGGCCCGCCCACCCACAGAACCTGAAGGCCAGGCACTCGTGTGGATGGACGGCACCTTGGCGCAGGCCTCTGACCAACCCCCTGGGTTTCTGGGGGGCTGCAGGGGCCTTGCCACAGCCCAGCTCTTGTTTGTGAAGCCCCAGAATCCTAAGAACCAGGCAGGGGTGCCTCCTCCAAAATAAAGGCTTCTATCTGGGGCCAAATGTTCTCTTCGACAACGCAGCCCCTAGGCCTCGCTCTTTAGGAGTTCTCTGAAAATACAACGGGCGAGAAAAAGAAAGGCCTCTCAAGTAAGACTGAGGCTGGCAAGCGGTGATGAAGCCACGGCCCCTCCCCTGACGTACCCAATGGAGAGGTCACCAGGTGGGAGCAGCCTGCCCCCCGAGTTCCCTGCCCCCCACGGTTCTGGCGCTCTCAGGCACCCCTTACCACGCTGCTGGACAATTGTTCTCACTACCTACTCAACCGCCTTGTGCACTGGCCCCTACAGACACACACACACACACACACACACACACACACACGATACACACACGAACACGAGACACACACACCAGACACACCCAACCACCCCACAGCACACACCCTCACACCAGACACACATGCACACACCCCCCCCACACACACACCAGACACACACATCCACCCACACCACAACCCCTCCACACACATCAGACATATACATGTACGCGCACCCCCCACACACACACCAGACACCCCCCATACCCTCCCCCCCCC